AACAACTGCTGAAGTGATTTTCTTTTGTTTTTGTTTTTGTTTTTTCAGTGAGGCAATTGGTGTTAAGTGACTTGCCCAGAGTCGCACAGCTAGTAAGTGTTATGTGTCTGAGGTTGAATTTGAACTCAGGACCTCCTGAATCCAGGACCGGTGCTCTATCCACTTCGCCACCTAGCTGCCCCTGAAGTGATTTTCTTAAACCATAGGTCTGGACCACGTCATGTTGCGTACTCAGTCAACCTCAGCAGATCCCTATTACCATTGGAACAAAATATAGACCTCTCTGGCCTTTAAAAGTCCTTCACAATGTGATCCCAACTTTTCTTTCCAGCCTCATTTTACATTGCTCTCCAAGTACTTTGTGGTCTAGCAATACTGGCCTTCTGACTCTTCCTCCGTCTCTTAATTATGCTGTGCCTTTTTGCATTAGATGTTTCCTGAGCTTCCAATTCTCTTCCCCACTTAGCTCATTTTTTAAAAATCCCTTCAAAACTAACCTCACACACCATCTTCTCCCTGAAACCTTTCCTGAACCTTCTCCCCCACTGCTAGTGACTTCCCTAAACTACTTAATATTTTTCACATTGATTCTGTATATGCTTGTATATGTTGTTGTGGTTCACTCATGTCCAACTCTTCCTGACCCCATTTGGCAAAAATACTAGAGTGTTTGCCATTTCCTTCTCCAGTTTAGGCAAATAGGATTAAATGACTTGCCCAGGGTCACTCAGCTAGTAAGTGTCTGAGGCCAAATTTGAATTCAGGTCTTCCTGAATCCAGGCCTGGCAGCTGCCTTTATGCTTATATATAAAATGTCCCAAAGTCTTAGGGCAGTTTTAAGATTTAATAACTTCAGAAGTATAAATGCTACATACTTAAAGAACCCCACATTTTAAAGGTTATTTAAGATTTTAAAATAATCATATGGTTCTTATTAATATTCAGCATGACCACCATCTTGTGCTAAACATCCCTCTAGTCTACTTTTGAACTTTGAGAAAACTTTCATCAGCTACCGCTTTGTAACTGAAAGGATTGCATTTTTATTCTAGCCATAAGAGCATCCAGAGGTTGTATTGCATACATGATGGTTTTGAGGCCACCCCAGAAGAAAAACATTCAATAGATGTTTAAATTGATGATTGAATCAGATGATTGAAGTGACCAAGCAAGAGGACCCCCTACCATGATGCACTGCTTTGAGATAGTGTCATGCAGTGCACAAAGAAACAGCGTTTCCTAATTTATTAAAATTAAAATTCAAAATTTGTTATTCCAAATTCACAAAATTAAGTGTAAAGGAAATTTAAACTATCAAGCCTTCAAATGATGTCTTTTGCTAAGTTTGTAGCATTTATGCTTCCGAAGTTATTAAAGCTTAAAACTGCACAAAGACTTCTAGGATGCTGGGTATACACACATTGATTCTCCTGATAGAATGTAAGCTCCTTGAAGACAGGGAGTTTCATTTTTACTTTCGTCTGGTATAGTGCCTGCTTAATAAATAATAGTCGATTGACTGATTGACTACCAAGAAGCCAGCCTACTGGTATGAGGCTCTCATATCTAGGCTGGTCCTCAGAAAGCAGAATCAGTCTGCCTGAGCTGTACTTGATCCAGCCTTACTAGAGTGATAGAGCCTCCCAGAGCTTGGGCTGTGCTGTCCTAGCCTTTGAGAACTTGGGTCACTTCCACCCCCATGAAACATCAGGGTAGGATCTTATGAAGGGACTCACAGGGTTCTGAGAATCAAATAAACTGTGGGGGTGCATAACAATGAATACAAATAAGCAAACACGATGTACATTTATATACTTACACCTTCACATCTGAGCCTCAGAACAACCCTGTGAGGTAGGTAATGTAAACTCAACCCTGTTTTCCAGCAGTTTTGGGGAATGAAACTTGGATTTGGAGTTAGGAGATATGGGTCAGCATTTCAACTCTTGTCACTTACCAGCTATGTGAACTTAGGAAAATCACGTATCAGTTTCTTCCTTTGTAAATTGGGGATGGTTTTTATTTATTTTTTAAGGCAATTGGGGTTAAGTGACTTGCCCAGGGTCACACAGCTAGTAAGTGTCAAGTGTTTGCTCTGAGGCCAGATTTGAACCCAGGTCCTCCTGACTCCAGGTCTGGTGCTCTATCCACTGCACCACTTAGCTGCCTCAGGATGATTTTTAGTGACATCACCGACTTCATAGGGCTGTTGTGAGGACCTAATGAAAGAAATGCAAAGTGTGATATAATTGATTCCTTCACCCAGTCACATGTGTAGTAAGGATGAAACTGAGACTTAACTCATTGTGTATTTATACAGCTGATTATTGAACCAAAGTGTAAAACTTTATATCTATCCTTATTAAATTTTCTCATAATCATATTTAATCCATCATTCTAAATTCATGGAAATCTTTTTATAGTCAGGTGAGTTAATTATTCCTCCCAGCATGGTATCATCCACAAATTGTCATGTAAAATAAGAAGGGAAATAAGAAAGAACCTAGATGCCCTTGAAGTATTGTTACCAGACCCAAATGAACTGGGCAAATAGGTGGCATGGTGAATAGGGTGCTAGACTTGGAGTTCAAACCCTGACTCAGATACTTACTAGTATAACCCTAGGCAAGGTGGCACAGTAATTAGAGTGCAGGGCCTGGAGTCAGAGAGGCTCCTGTTTTTGAGTTCAAATCTGGCCTCAGGCACTTACTAGCTATGTGATCCTTGGCAAGCCACTCATCACTGTTTGCCTCAGTTTCCTCATCTGTAAAATGAGCTGGAGAAAGAAATAGCAAACTACTCCAGTATCTTTGCCAAGAAAACTCCAAAAATTGGATCACAGAGAATTGAACATGACTAAAAATGACTGAACAACAACTACAAGGCACTTAACCTGTCTGCCTCAGTTATCTCATCTATAAAATGGAGATAATGTTCCCAGGGTTGTTGTGAAGATAAATATTTGTAAAAATCTTTGCATACTTTAAAGCACTGTATAAACATAGTTATTATGATTATTATTATTATTGTTACATCCCAGGCAGATGTGATTGCTAAGTCAATATAAGTGATCTCTGAAAAATTGTCCATGGGTGGTCCTGAAGTAGACGAGGGCAAATGTCATCCTGATTCTTTTTAGACAGAAGAGACTGGAAACAGTAATCTCAAAGCCAGTGGTTTGATTGACTTTGTTTACTATCAAAGCTTTGGAGTAGATGATTAAAGCAATAGTCAGGAAACATCCAGGTAAGAACGTGATGACCAAAGAGCCATTATCTTGCTAGATTAACATTTCCATTTTTGACAGGTTTAGTAGATTGGCAGATCAAAGGAATGTTCTAGATATAGTGTACTATTTTAGGGAGGCATTTCACAAATTCTCTATTGGTATTTTTATGGAAAAGATGGAGAAATATGGCTCGATAGGTGTCCAGGTAGGTGAATTTGGAACTGGTTGAAAGGCCAGACTCAGACTCTTATTTTAAATTCTGTCTCTTCACGGACCTAGAAGAGGGAGAATGTTCTTGAGTTGTCCAGGAAGAAAAAAGAAACAACCAAAATCTTGTTCTGGCCCTGGAGTCAGTAAGACTCTGTTTCCTGTGTTCAAATCTGGCCTTCAGACACTTACTAGCTGTGTGACCCTGGACAAGTCACTTAACCTTGTTTGCCTCAGTTTACTAATCTGTAAAATGAGCTTGAGAAGGAAATAGTAAACCACTCCAGTATATCTTTCAAGAAAGCCCCAGGGGCAGCTAGGTGGCACAGTGGATAGAGCACTGGCCCTGAAATCAGGAGGACCTGAGTTCAAATTCAGCCTCAGACCAAACACTTGACACTTACTAGCTGTGTGACCTTGGGCAAGTCACTTAACCCCAATTGCCTAAAAAAAAAAAAAAAGCCCCAAATGGGGTCATGAAAAGTTAGACATGACTGAAATGACTGAACAACAACCCTTGAGCTGAATTGATGTAAATGGTTAATAGTTTTCCAAAGTATCATTCATTTTTTAAAGAACTCATGTTTTGAGTCTTGTGTCTTCTCAGCACTCGTTCTGTAGACACAATTTCTATCGCCCAGAGGGAATTTCCCTTTCAACACCCCCATTGTTTCCAAAAAAGGAAATATTTTGCCAACTAATTAGGCATAAAAGTCACCCAATTTTCAAAGCCTATTCCATCATGTATACATCATCTATCTTTAGATTTTTTTTTAAAAATGTACATATGACCAAATACAGGCTATATGAATGAAAAGAAACCAAGGAATCAGGTTCTACAATAAACCGGTATTGTCCATGATGGGAAGAGGGATAAACTTAGGACAGGTAGCAAGATCAGAACTTTAAAATCAACTTTTTTCATATGTTGCTCCAATAGGATTTTAAGTCTTTCTCTGCAATTTCCTACCGCCATCTCTCTACTTTCTTGTCATCATCTCCTTCTCTCCACCAGAATTGGAAACACCCTGGACTCTGATTGAAGAACTTTCCCCTTATCTTGCTAGGGTCAAAGCCTCTACTTCCATCTTCATACCATGTCATTGCATGGGTCCTCTCCTCTCTCTCCATCTCCTGCTCCCCTTTATGTGTTTTGTTTTCCCATTAAGGAGCAAGGTAAGCTCCTTGCTTGTATTTTTACTTCCACGGCTTAGCACAGTACCTAGCACATAGTAAGTACTCTATCTATCATATGCCATGTGAATGAGATTTTGATTTAATATTAAAAAACTTTATTTCCTTTAGGAATTCTTTTTTGGTAGCAGTCTTCAAATATTAGGCTGTCACAGGAAGAGAAATTAGGCTGATTTTGCTTTGCCCCAGAGAGCAGAATTACAGTCAATGGACCAGTTTTAGAGATTCCATTAATAACAATCAGCATTATCCAAAAGGCTTCCTCAGGACATAGTAGGGCTACCAGGAGTTTTGGAAAGGCATCTTACCCATAGCTCCCTCATTTTTACCACATGTCATGAAGTCAGAATATGAAATACAGTGCTGCCACTTGATTTTCAGCATAAATCTTTATTTGAGGAAAACAGACATACTTCTTGATTAGATTATTGCCAAAGATAAAAATCATCTGAACAGGAATCACTTCCTAAAATTATTTGCTAGCCTGAAGAGAGGGAGATGGTTATAATAATTGAGTCTCATCCCTTTCCTTCTTCAAAGGAAAATGCATGGATGAAAGAGACCAATGCTAAGATTTCAAGGTTCCTGTAGTTTCCTCCCCCCCATGCTAATTTAACCTGGAATTAAATGGGAATGCACTTCAACAGGAACTTCAGACCCCACCCCATATAACTGGGCTAAAACCTGCTCAAGAATGAGGGTACTTGGAGCACTGTAGAGATGGTTTGTGGGGAGAAAAAAATCTACCCAGACTAGATTTAGCAGCAATTAAAACTCGTTTTCATACATATTCTGCATTGGCTCTCTCAGCTCCAGATAAGGCCTGAGAGTTCTGGAGAGAGATTATGCATAGTGAGAGATGCAGAAGAACCTCATTCTCAAATCACTATTCTTTCATTATGATCAGGTTGTCTTCCCTTGCTTGGCAAGGATAGTCTCAATCAGAAGGTCATCACCTTCCTTGAAAATGAGCTTCAATTTGCTCCAAAGTCTTTCCCTTTGTTTCAGGAACAAAGAGCAATGTGAAAATGACACCGAGGACACAGAAGGCAGAGAAAAGCCAAAATGTTCCATATGGAGTCAGAACACCCTGCAAACAAAACGAAAAACTGTAGTTTAAAAACAAAACACAAACACTAGGTCCAACAAATTAAACTCTTGGGTAGAAGGAAGTGGGGAAGTTTAGTACCTTTCTCTCCCTAACATTAGAAATCTATTAACATAGCACCATCCTTAGTAAGAAACCCTCTTCCCTGCAGGTTATGACTGTCCCTCTGAGCAGAGCTGGCTGCACATACTAGCCTCATGATGCCTTTTGATTCAAAGTGAGTCTGAAGTACATAATAGAAGACAGAAGGGGGTCATAGAGATGCGGTTGCCCTTTAGTGGCTAGGAAAGCAGTTTTGTATAGGGGAAATGACCAGCAGACACATAGACCCCTAGGAAGCAGCCTGGAGGTTGATGACTTTTTTACCTTCTAGAATTTTGATAGTCAAGTGAAAGAAAGAGTAGGAGGTAGGAGGGATGAGACTTTTTTTTTTTTTTTTAAGGGAAGATCTGAACAGTAGGTAGAGGAAGAAGCCAGGAGAAGGAGAAATCGAAGATACATGAGGATGAGGGAATGAATCGGGAGAAGATAGGAAAGAATGGCATTGAGGCCATAGGTGGAAGAAGGTCACTGAACCTTGTGAAAGAAGGAAATGACTAAGTCAGAGATTTAGGGGTATGGAGGAATAATGTTGAAGGAGATCCTTTTGGATAGCCTTGTTCTTAATAAAGAAGTGAAGTCATCTATTGAGAGTGGGCTAGTGTCAAAGAATGCTACAAACAGAAGAAAAACAAAACAAAATCTGAACACTCAATCCAAAAACCTAAATGGAAATGCTGGGGAAGGTTGTGAGGAGTGTGACAGGGAATTAATCAGATGGTTACATTTCAGTGGTAAGGGCCCAGTTACCCATTTCTAATTGATAGTGGACCCAATCATGATACAAAATTTTTAAAAAGACAATAGCAGCTCACATTTACCCAACACTTTAAGACTTACAAATTGTTTTCCTCACTATAAATGATTGTTGATACTACCAGACCTTAGGAGAATGCACTTAGGAGTATTTCAGTTACATTAATAGGTGATTAGATTTTTGTAGGTGGTCCTGGGAGTCTAACCATTATTTATAATATTTTATATTAAGACCACCTACAAAAACCTGATCACCTGTTAATGTAACTGAAAATGCCTCCCAAATTCCAAATACCAAACTTAGACAAGTGACCAGAGTGCATTGCTACTGATCTATATCTTACAAATGAGGAGTGGTACAATAGATTAGAATGCCAAGGTACAAACAAGAATTCTCCTCTTGCTTCCTCCCATCTACCTGACCACATTCTTGTTCCCTGAAACTACCTTTCTACCGTCTCATGTGATTATGGCTGGGTTCTGTGTCATATACACGTGACATTATGTTTGCTGCACTTTGAAACCACAATAAACTACTATAAAATCTGGATACTTTAAAGTGTGTTTTTCTTTTGTCTTTTTCCATCACGAGAAGAGGTAAAAGCCCACCCCTGGGTCACAGGGAGGTTCTTACCATGAGGCTGCTGAATTCTTTTGTCACCAGAAAGGCCATGATCCAGCTGGTGAGAACACAAACGCCACTGGCCAGCCCCTTGACCATGAGGGGGAATATTTCAGACATTAGCAACCAGGGGATGGGACCCCAGCCTAGGGAAAAACCTGAAATAGCAAAGAAATGGATTACCGAAACCATAGCATAAAGTTGGCCATGGGCAGATAAAATTTTCCAACGTAGTGGGTCATGAAGAACATTTAGATGGTATAGAAGGATCAGAGTCTGCATGGGGAAAAGATGGGTGAAATTCAGGACGGGAATCGGAGCCTGACAAGGCCGCCCTGTTAGACGCTCACAAAGAACCATCTGACACCCTCTTACCCATGAGGAAGAATCCCATGCTCAATACTGCTAGCCATGGCAGTCCAGAGTTGGCTCCTGCAGACTCTGAGTTCAAGGATGTGAGGAGGTCAGGATGTGAGGAGTTGTTAGGACTCGGAAGAGAAATTTTAAAGTAGATACCAAACAGCATGCAGCTCAGGGCCATGATAGCACCTGGGGGGGGGGGGGGAAGAGGACAATCAATAGCAAGAAGTCTGGGTCTAGGTCGGAGGCTCTTTGAAAAAACAAAAACAAAATAAAGCCGTGACAGAGCAAGACTCAGCAGGGCCAATTTTCACGCTTTTTCTTGTCTCCCCACCCCGTGTGTGTGTGTGTGTGTGTAACTATAATTGTTATTTCAAGAAGAGTAAAGTCTGAAGCTTATCTTGCCACAGGGAGATAAGATTCAGAAAAGCAGCTGTCATGTCTGTCTCCTTGTGACTGAGCTCTCCATATCACTCACTAATAGGGGTTGGTATAGGAAAGGGGATCATGAGAATGTAACTCCTGGTCCACAGGGTAGGTGTCTCCTCATCACCAACCCGGGATTGTGTTCATCTCACCTGATAGCAACAGGAGTATCTTCCGGCCAGCTCTGTCCATGACAAGGGCAGCTATGGCAGTGAAGACCACCTGGAGGACCCCCACAATGACTGAGGCAAGGCTACTGTCCTGAACAGGAGACAGAGGATCCAGGGCATTAACATCTCCAAGAAAGAGCAAATTTGGAGAGAGATTTTCATAACAAAGAATGTAACATTTCTATAGAGTATTCAGGGACCTGTCACAAGTACCACTTCCACTAACCAACAAGAATATTTTAGAGAAGCTCATCAGAACATCAGGTTACTTTGAAAGGGACATGGGGTCAACTTCTACCTTAAAGTTGGCTTGCTCAAAAATTGTCTCCGCATAAAACATCATTGCATTGATCCCTGAGAATTGCTGGAAAGCCATCAGTGACACACCGATGAGAAATGGCTTGTAAACCGATGGATTCTTCAATCTTGCCAGATGAAATCCCTGTTTCAGAAATAGGCATTTTTAGTTAATTTTACATTACAAATAGAAATTTTGGACTCAGAAGGAATCTTGAAGAGCAGAGGTGTCAAACATGCAGCCCACAACACTCCTGAGTGTGCTCGAACCAGATCAAAAGAGAATTGGGAAATACTTAATAAAGTAAATAAAAATACACTAAGATGTAGCGAATATTACATTTTAAAACTGTTAATATGCAGCCTGCAATGACCCTTTTGTATGGATTTACGCCCCCTGTTTCTATCTAAGTTTGAGATCACTGTTGGAAGACCATCTATTTCAGTGCCCTCATAGGAAAAAGATGAAGAAACTGAGGATAAAAAGAATGAAAAGAGCCAGTCATATTAGCAAGCTGGTAGAGCCACAATTCAGGCTGACTCTAAAGACCTCCAATACAAGGAGGGAAAGTTGTTTTTCCACTGAATTATGTGGTCTGTCACTTTTTTCCCTGGGGTTGGGGGGGTGGTCACAAAAGGAGAAGGCCCCTGATATTGAAATGTGGCCAAAGACAAGCAGTGGGCCAGCAGTGACCCTGGGGCTGCAGTGCTAGCTGCAGTCAGTCTGGATTCTTGTGGCTGCTTCCTCATATGCCCTGCTCACACCCCATCTGGAAGACTGTGTTCTGTTTCAGGTAAGACACTGATGAAGGAAGTGGGGGAGTTTAGCCTGGACAAGAGAAGACTTTCTAGGGCCATGATAACTATCATCAGGTATTAGAAGGGCTGCCGTGTGGAAGAGGGATGAGATCTATTCACCCTTGATGGCAGCAGGAGGAAGTTATAAGAATGAAAATTTCAGCTCGATAGGATAGGAATCAGAGCTGTCCAAAAGTTGAACTGGCTGCCTTACGAGGTAATTAGTATGGATTCCCCATTCACCGAAGGGCTTCAAGGCAAGGCCGAGTGACCAACCACTTGCTGGGGAATTTTTCTTCAGGCATGGATGGGCTGGAACAACCTGAGGCCCCTCCCAACTCAAATCCATTGCAATGGTAATCCCCATCCTCCCTCCTTCGAAGGAGCTAATGGAAAAGTGTTTGTGAAAGTGTTTTGGAGAAAAGCAGTAATTTTTATATACACAACAAGCATGATTAGTAAAGTGTGAGTCTGCACAAAATCTTTATGAAAACTCTGGTTTTCTCGCCACGTGTCTGGCAAACATGGCCTCTGATAGACAAAGGTTTCTTGTTTTTAGCAGCCTCCATGATCTGACTTCCCTCGAAGTTCACGTCCCAGACTTTTTGGTTAGCAATGTTTAAACTGAATAGATAAATGTTAAATGAAGCATTCACTCTTTCCCTCAGCATTATAGTTACAGACAGAACTTAATCAAACACTCTTTGGTCCCCAAAGCTCTGCTACTGTGCTAGTTTTGGTCAGAAAAGCACAGGGTGGGTAGGCCCCCATTCATTATCACTGCAGACCATCTGTTAGGATTCCTGGGACATCCACAGGAAGTAATGGGCAGGGAGAAGATCTATCATGAACAAAGGAAAAGATGGCTGCACCAGTGGGATTATTTACACATCCCCACACATGCTGGTGGCATACACGTTGTGTCATTTTAGGGTGGTGATACAGGTTCAAATCCTGGTGTTACTCCTTACTAGCTGTATGACTGTAGGTGAGTCTTTGGATCTCTATGGATCTCAGTTTCTTCATGTGTAGAAAAGGGGTGGACTGGATAATCTCCAAGGTCTCTCCCAGTCCTGACCTTTTTAGTGAAAGTCTGCACTGTGTGACAGCACAGAGAGAGGGCTTTCAGACAGAAGCTGAGTGTGAGTCCTAGCTCCAAAACACTCACCTGCTCTCTCAAATGGGGATAAGGACACTTGCATTATTTACCTTAGAGAGTTAAGTTGTGTGGAAAAATGTTTCGTAAACTTTGCAGTGCTATGGAAAGGGAAGCTATTATGATGAAACTTTTTACTTCTAGCCAGAAACAAAGTATAAGTTTCCCCCTCCTTACCTGATCCACTTCACTGCATTCCTTCTCTTCTGCTTCCTGCTCCTCATCTATCCCCCACAGAAATCTCACTGCAGCCCGTGCTTCCTGCTTCTTGTGCTTAATCAGCAGGAACCTTGGGGTTTCAGGCATGAAACACATGAGCAGCAGCATGAAGAAAGGTGGGACGCAGCCCAGCACGGCGAGCCAGCACCAGTTCAGACCTAGCCCTGTGGAGGGGAGGACGTGGGAGAACAGGATAAGAGAAGGCATAAGGAGCACTTCTGAGAACAAGTTCCCCTCAAGAACTTCATACAATCCATGAGTGCTGCAGTGAATAGAGCAACGGTCTTGGAGTCAGGAGGGCCTGAGTTCTAATCCGGCCTCAAACACTTACTAGCTGTGTGACCTTGGGCAAGTCACTTAACCCCGATTGCCTCCCCCAAAAAATTCATACAATCCCGACTGGATTTTTCTGGTTTATTCCATTAGTCCACACACTAAAGAGAAATGGGACATTTAGTAGCCCCATGACAAGCCCCACTGCAATCACCTACTAACATTCAGTCCACAAAACCCAACCATCACTTGGCATAGGACAGACAAGGTGGTATAGCAGAAAAACACAGGATTTGGGAACAATGAGCTGGGGTCTGAATCCGAGTTTCTTCATTTGTAAAATGGGGATTATAAGATCTGCCTTTCCAAACTCACCAGGCTGTTCTGAGGATCAATGTGGTATTGCTGACAGAGTGCTGGCGTGGGAGACAGGAACCCTGCATGTGAATCCCAGCTCTGACATTCATGGGCAAGCTATACAGTAACTACACTCTTAGTAGATGAGTGACTGGAGGCATTGTGGTATATATAAAGGAAAGAGTCCAGAACCTGGTCATTGGAGGCCCCAAGTTTAAATTTGGGCTCTAACTTTTACTGCCTCTAGGACCCTGAGCAAGTCCTTTTAGTTCTAAGGGTCTCTATTTCCTCCTCTATAAAAGGAAAGAATTGGACCAAATGATTCTAAGGTCTTCCCAGCTCTTCCTGTGGTCTTAAGATGTCACTCGACTTCTTGGTGGAACGAAGCACGGTGTAAACCTTAGAGTTCTAGATAGAAGAAAGTGATTGCTAAATGATATGGTGACAACGTTTTGAAAAGTACAACACCACACAAATTCAAGGCTTTGTCACGGCTAACATCCAGATAACTGTACCTGCAACATATGCTCCGAGGATCCCACTGACGACCATTAGCTGCACACAAGAGCCAAGCAGTCCTCGGATTTCTGGGTAAGATATTTCAGCTATATACACCTGTGTATCGCAGAAAACATTAGAAGTGAATAACTACTAATACAAAGTAGGTATAACTTTGAATTTCATTTGCATATGTAGGTTCCTTTAAGTTTTTATTCATGTTTATTCAACTTGACAAGCATCAGCCAATGTATCTTCTTATAAAAAGAATAAAAAGATTAGATAGGAAATCATGGAATTCTACTATGTATTATGTACAGATTATTTCTTTGAAAAACTAAATAGTAAATTTAACATGGTAATAGCAGCACTTATCTGTATTTCTTTCTAAAATTCCTATTTTTTCTATTTTTAAAATGATTCACTGAACCTTTTTCTTTTGTTTTTTCATCTCTATTATTACCCTTTCCACCTACCCTCAAACATTAGTCCTCTTGTATAACAAATTAGGACAGTCAAACAAAACACATTCAGACATTGGTTAAATCTGAAAATGTATATCTTATTCTGCACCTACAGTCTATCACACAGCTATTTATTTTTTAATTATGATTATTTATTTTGGGACAGAGTTTCCCTATCTCTCTCTGGCTGGGAATGCAGCAGCCACTCACAGGCCCAGTCCCAACTGGCATGGAAGCTTTAACCTGCTCTATTCTCTTACCTGAGCTGGTTCACTCATCTCCAGGCTGGTGGCCCTGAGCTCCTGGGAATCAACTATATTGACACAGACACCTGATTGACTATTTAGTGCTACTGCAGCTCAGAACTCCCAAAGTCAAGATATACGACAACCTCAGCCTCTCTAGCAGCAAGTATATGCCACCATGCCCAGCAATCATATCAGCTGTAATTAAAAAAAGATATTTTGTTTTTTAAATTCAGTTTTACTTTATTCTCTCACTCTTGCCTCAATAAAACAATGACAACAACAACCGAAAAAAAAACCCAAGCAAAATGAAACCCTGTTACAAACATGTACAGTCAAGAAAAACAAGTATCTGTATCGGTCATGTCCAAAACAAATATGCCTCATTCTGCATTGAGTCCTCGGGTCTCTATCTGGATACAGGTAGCATGCTTTTACCACGAGTTCTCTGGAACTGAATCCCATAGGTTTCTAAAAGTTAAGTCTCTAGTACTGGAATAACAACTTCTAACAAAAATATTATTGTTGCTAGCCTGTTTTTAAAACAAATTTACAGACTGAAACACATAAACTTATTTCATCACCATCCTCCCTCTCTCTCCTCCTAAGAAATAAAGACTATTACAGCAATCTCAAATTATCAAGCAACAATCAAGGGCAGGGACCATGAGAAAATGAAGAAAGCAAACCAATAACCACTCCTTCCCTCCAGGCCCCCCAAGCCTGTGACTCTTCTGGAGTGGAACCTGAGAATCAAACATCAGGATCCTCTATTGTTTTTAAATCCCTGTGGGGACAAGTAGGAGTATCCTGGAGTCAGCTCAAACCTGATGAAAGCTGATTGTTAAATTTTCTGTCTGAGCATTTTCACTTCATAAATCAGCAAACACTACAAATCAGAGCTTGACTTATTGTTTTGTTGATTGTCTAGACTTAATGTGATGGAGAAATATAATAATTCTGATTAAATTTAAAAGTGTCGTGCATTGATTTTTTTTTCTGGAGAGCCTGCTGTTTAAGTATTTACCAGCACACCCAGCTTTGTGCTTTAAACAAATTTTGGCCGGGTTCTAAAATTTTAAAAAAGCAACAATCCAACTTTTAAATAATAGTTGCATTTCCCTACATGCACCAATTCAATAATTCAGCTCACATTTGTATAGAATTTTGAACAAAGCAGGTAAATAAAATAATCAAGTTACCAGTTTTTTGCTGTAGCTATGAAACTCATCCGAAAAAAGATAATATCCTACTGCTTTAAAATCATACTCTGCAGCCCCTGTATATGAAGCCCCCACCTCAACTGCGGAAAACACATTAAAAATTATACCAGAATCACAAAAGGTCTAATTGGAATGGATGACTTCGGGGCCACCAAGTCATTTGCATGTTACTTCCCCCACTGGAAAGCGAGCTCCCTGAAGGCAGAGATTTGTTCAGCCTTTCTTTATATCCCCAGCACTTAGCATAGTGTCTGGCATATAGAGGTGCTTAATAAATAAGTGCTTGTTGATTGACTGGCCTCGTTCAACTCAAAATGACCAAGAATCTAAGAATTTCCCTCTACTAATAAGTGGTCATCCAGTATTTTCTTGAAGATTGGGCAGAACCCACTAATAATAATGATAATAATAATAATAACAATAATAACAGCTTAGCATGTATATAGTGCTTTATGGTTTACAAAGTGCTTTACATATATGTGTTAACTCATCGGATTCTTGTAAATTAGGTGCTATTAACTCATTGGATTCTTATAACAACCCTGTAAATTAGGTGCTATTATCATTCTCATTTTACAAATGAAGAAACTAAGACAGACAAAGTGATTTGCTCAGGGTCACACAGCTAGTAAATGTGTTGGGTGAATTAAAACCCAGATCTTCCTGATCGCAAAGCCAGTACTGTACCCACTATACCACCTAGCTGCCTACCTCCCAATTTCACTCAAAGGCGAAGTTTATTTCATTTTCGGATAACTAATTGTTAGGAAGATTTTCCTAACAATGAGATGAAAACCTCCTTTCTAAAACTCATATCCATTACTGCTACTTTTGTCCTCTAGGATCAAAGAGAACGAATCTAATAATTTCTCTTCCATATGACAACCCTTCAAATTTTTGAAGACTGTTACTAAACAAGAAGGTTACTCTAAAAAAAAAAAATCAAGTTGAATGCAAATTGTGATTTCATTTGTGTAAACCCTGAATTTTTCAAGACGATTTACCTAGGAGACAAGGAAAAATAAATAATAGTAATACCTAACAGTATATCATGCTTTGAAATTTGCAAAGCGCTTTAGGTTGTCTCATTTTATTTTCACAACAACTCCGGGTAGTGGGTACTATTATTATCTCTATCATTTCACAGATGAGGATATTGAGGAAGATTTCAAACTCCAGTTTTTTTCTAATTTCAAGTCCAGAGTTATGTATTAAATCTGGCTTCAGAAACAAGCTGGTTATCATTTAACTTCTCTGTACTCCCAGGCAACTATGTAGAATGGTCGGTAATCTGATCAATACAGGTTGAAGGAATTCTCTATTCCTAAAGATAATGAAATCACAATCCTAGGCCAAAACAAAGCAAAAAATCCCACACTACAAGGCTTAAGGAGATATGAGTGGGTAAGAAAGTCTAAAAACGAATATGTTGAGTATTCATTTTCATTATAATCAAATTTGGGGGAAGAAGTAGCCAGTGTAGCACCAAGATTTGGAGTCAGAAGACTCAAATGGTGGTTCTGTCACTAGTTGCCAGGTGGATTTGCCTCTCAGCCCTAATTTTCCTCATTTGTACAATAAAGGGATTAGACTAGATAAGGGGGTTAGCAAACTACAGCCAGCTCCAGCCAGCCTCCAGTTTGTGTGTTCAGCCAAGGGGTTAAGAACAATAAAAATTTTTTTAAATTCATTTAAACAATTATTCTTAGCTTGAAGGCCTGCACAAAAACAAGTAGGAATAAAAACAAACAGCAGGGGCCAGACCATAGTTTGCTAACCCCTCAACTACATGATCTCAAAATTCCCTTTTCCAACTCTAAAATGATGACCTGTATGTTTTATCCTCAGAAACTTTTACAAGTTCAGTTCAGCATAAGACTCTTTGAACTAAGGACAGGTGATTCTGATTTAAGACCAGAAAATCTTGCAGACAGGGTGATACTGATCTTTCATGTGATAAATGTGAACAGATAGTTTTAAAGTAATTTGAAATGACAATGCTATTCTTTCCAAGTCTGAGTCACCTGACTGTGAGAACCAGACTATAATCCTTTCATTTGCCAGACTATTCAAGGGAACAAGTGTTTTAAAATCTCTATTCCTGTGAGGTATCTAAGTGTTTTCCAGAAGGCAATTTCTTATTACTATCTATTTAACTAGTATGGCTTTTGAAACAAATTGTTCCAGGAAGCTGAAATTCTCCCTAACTTCACCTCCAAGGGAAAAAGGTTTTGTTTTCTTACTTTTCTTATGAACTATTTCAGATGATCAGATTAACGTGTGACTCACTGGGACAACAAGGGAAGTGACTCCACTTGCCAGGCCAGTCAAGAGGCGACCTCCATACAGCATCCATATGTTCTGGGCCCCAATCACCAGGGTGAAGCCACCAACAAAAGGCACTGTGCAGAGCATCAGGGTCAGTTTCCTTCCAGCCTTGTCCACCAGCCAGCCACCTAGCACACCTCCTAGGGCAGCCCCGAGAGTCACAAGGGACTACCCAGAAGAGGACAAAAGTAGTAGACAAGTTTAAACCACTTAAATCATTATTCCGCACTCAAAGGGTGAAGAATAGGAAGAACAGGGTCTGGGTGGGGAGATCAAAGGAATCAACACAAGGGTCTTCTTACAAAGTCTGTAAGTGGTTAGGAGAATTCCTAACACTGGATAAGTAAAAATTAATTTTATATTCAATTATGGAATGCACAGTAAGTCTTAAATGCAGGTTTATCTTTATAATTTCATTTGAATTCTGATAATTTCAGCCTCTGTTACCAGAGCTGATTCACATGTTAAAAAAATGGAAAAGTTGATTCTATTAACAATCAACCTTGGACAGAGCACTGTTTCAGGAGCTGAGGAACATAAAAAGTTCAGATAAGATATGCACTTATGGACTATGATTTTCGCAACAGGAGGGTATGTATTTGGGCAATGGGGCCTCTGTTTGAGGTTGGGGGGTTGGTGGGAGAGGGAAGACTGGGGGGTTGCCACACTAGAGAGATGCTTAGGGTGAGAGAAGGAGTTGCACGGCCAGGGTAAGGTGCGGCGGTGGGATGCTGAGGGAGGGGTGTGGAGAAGGGAGAGCTCCTGGGAAGGCAAGATAAGAAATTGGGGTGGGGGTCCTGACAGAGCTGGGGAGAAGCTGAGGAGGGGGCCAGGGCAAAGGGAAGCATAAGACTGGGGGGGGTTAGAATGGGGAGGTGGGAGCTGGTCGGGGCAGGTCTGGGGGTAGGGGTCTCACCCCGAACCAGGAAGCCTCGTCATCGCTCAGCTGGAGGAACTCGGGTCCGGTCCTCCGCAGGCTCGGGATGGCCGGGGAGCTGTAGCCCAGGACGAAGCCAAAGCTCAGCGGGCCCAAGGTGGCAGCGAAGGCTGCCAGGAAGAGGCCGCGTGGCCGGCGGGCGCTGCGGGGACAGCTGCGGGTGAGAGGGAGCGGACTCGCTGCGGTCGCAGCTGCCCCGCTCGGCCCCGGGCGCCCCCCACCCCGCCCGCTTCCCGGAGCGCCCCCACCCCAGCTTACCTCGGGCCCGGCTCCTCTGCCCCAGACCTCGGGCCCGCTTTGCCCAGCAGCGGCTGCGTCGCGTCGGATTCCATGGCGCCTAGGCCGCCGCTACCTCCGCAGCCGCAACTCCAGGGAGCCGAGGCCGCAGTGGCGGGGCCGGCCTCTACCCCGGCAGACCCAGGCCCGGAGCCCCGCGTCCCGGCATGGGGGCGGAGCCTCTGGAGCAGGGTGGAGAGGGGGCGGAACGTGCGTGCCTGCGGGCCTGAGAGGGCGGGGGGCGGAGTCGGATCCCTCCTGTTTAGGCTTGGGGGAGGGGCGGGGAACCGGCATAGTCACATGGTGGGCGGTGCTAGCGCCCACCCGATCGGTTCTGATAGGACAGGGGGCGTGGCCTTCGCAGGGCGGGTGCGGGGACCTTGGGCTCCTTCCTCTGGGGCAGGCCCTGCGATGATTGAGTGGGAGGCGCAGACAGAGTCAGACTCAAACACTGAAGGCCAGTCAAATCCCGTACTTTATTTCTGGGTATGGGGTGGGAGAGGGGTGAGGAGAGACACAAGAACCAACCAGGCCGTGGCCAATGGAGCTGAGCGGTCATACACGGAGTCACAGCACATACGGACTTGCACAAAAAACAATAGCGATACAAAGTGGATTTAAGACACTTGGTGGTTCGTCCCTTGATAGACAGCACAGAGGGATACTGAGCCACAGCCTCACAGCACAGGCTTGGTAAGTAAGGATTAGGCAGCACAAGACTCCGGGAAGAGGAGCCTGGGAAATAAAACGAACAGGGAGAGAGCCCTACACGACACGAACGAACAAAATATTTTATTTTTAACACCTCTCCCACCACCACAACTGCCCTCCTTCAAAGGGGTCCCCTTCTTCCAGGGGGATGCGATTGGAGATCCAGGACAGAGCTGCCTCAGAGCAGTTGCCTTCCTTCCACTGACCTGCCTGGACGCACGAGCTATTAGGAGGTTAGAGTCAGAAAGGATCTAGAGATCTAGTCCAATCCCTTCATCTCACTGGTAAGAAACTGAGGTCCGTCGAAAGGAAGTGAGTTTCCTAAGATCACACAGCTAGTAAGGACTGCAAATCTATTGCTCCTTCCACTACCACAGCTTCGATAAAGGAAACCGTCTTAAAAGGAGGGAGGTGGGTGGTGCCCTCGAGTGTCTCTGCTGCTAGGGGGCGTGGCCGATAGATATCTTGAGTTCGGGAGTTCTGAGCTAAGGTGGTCTAAGCTAAACGAGTGTCGGAAAAAAGTCCCTCATCAATATGGTGAGCTCCCTGCAGGAGGCAAGTGCTCTCAGGCAAATTAAGTAAAGGAAATGGACTAGCCTTGAGTAGCCACTGCCCCCCCAGCCTGGGTGAGACAAGGAAATCCAGTTAAAAAATTAAACAGAAGTATGTGGGTGCTTCTTTTAAGAGAGTTCGGTTTATCAAAGAAGAACATCTTTAAAGGATGCTCAAGGACAGTGACAGATCACAGAATGTCATACACTAGCAACTCACAGTAATTCTGCAGGATCAGTAAGGGTGAACACACAAAAAGAAATACTTGTACTGTAAATATCTACAAGAAATTAATATTTACTTTCACTTCAAGCCCCTTTCTTTTCAAAGAAAGCCTAATTCCTTCAGGAATCCAGTGGACAGTGAAACTGGTTGTCTATGGCCTGCTTTTCTCAGTAGTTCTGTAGGAAGGAAGGAACCACCTACACTCATTCTGGTGACAGAGGAATGTCTGTTTAAAGAAGGTCTATTTTGCTCTAGGAGGTAACGTATTTGGGCACAAACTAATCTTACAGATGTCTTTACACCCACTCAGCAAGAGCTGAGGCCAAACCTTAATCTTAGGAGCTTAAAGAGACTTTAGGAAGAGTTGTAGAATTTATAGACTCAATGAATTTAAGGTAGGAATGGGCTAGAGAGCATCTAAGGCAGCACGGTGTAGGAACCAGGAAGGTCTGAGTTCAAATCTTGCATCATTTACTAGCTGTGTGATGCTGGGAAAGCCATAACTTCTTTGAGCCTGTTTCCTCCTCTGTAAAATGGGTATTTGTAGCACATATCTCACAGAATTGTTGTGAGGATCAAAGAAGATAATGCATGTAAAATATTATAAAAGACTGATTATTATCTAGCCCAACCTCTTTGTTTTACAGATGGAGAAACTGAGTCTCAGAAAGGGGAAGTGATTTGCCCAAGATCACATAGTAAGTTCAGTCAAGAGCCAGGATGAGAACCCAGTTGGGTGGCAGCATGGTATGGTGGAAAGAGCACTGCCTCTGGAGTCAGAGGGCCTGGGTTCAGCTCTTGCCTCTAGCATTTACTACCTGTGTGACTTTGTTCGAGTCACTCAACCTCCCGGGCTTCGGTTTTCTCATCTGTAAAATGAGGACTAGATGGCCTCTAGATCTATGGTCCTACAATTTCCCAACTCCTACGCTGGTGCATTTGATACTACACTGTGATACCTTTTAGGACAGAGGTGTCACACCCACATGTCCTATGTGACCCACAACACTCTCCAGTTTGGGGAGAACCAGATTAAAATGAAATTGGAAAATATTTAACATATGTAATCAGGTTTTTGAGCATGCCCAGTTTGCTCAGCAAGGAACCTTCTTGGATTGTCTGATTGTCTGCCTCCTCCTTAAAAAGGTGTAAGACTGAACCATTTGTTTTCTATCTGGTTGGGCAAAACATAAATACAAATACAATAAAGCATAGATAATATCACATATTAAAACTATGTCAATATGTAGCCCACAGAGATCCTTACGTATGGATTGGGGGCCCCCTTTTCTATTTGAGTTTCATACCCCTAGCCTAGAACCTCCCAGGCCCCCGTAACACTGGGAGTCTGTCTGGAGAACACCTACAACTGCAGTGCCCCCAGTCTGCTGCTGTAATCAGAGCTGTTTTCTTTTGCATTTGCGGTTTATACCTATGAGATGGATGTTGAGTCTTTTGGAAACTTAAGAGGTCCATGACATGGACTGAAAGGGGTCTGGACCAAATTGTCATAAATCAGTACCAAGCTGCTGAGTTCAAACAACCTTCTGGGGAATTCAGGTAGTCCCTCACAGCTGCAACAGCAGCAACATCTGTGGCAATGTGGTAAATGGCCTAGCAGTAAAGGCAAACTGTGATCCTGAAAATTCAAGCCCTAGAGGTTTTAGCCTAGGCCAGGAGGATGTTCAGTTTGTTCTGGTAGAGCGATGGTCTCCTGTCAGATGACTCTCATACAGCCTATTACACTTTACTACAGATCCCCCAAATAAAATAATGCAGAAATACCAATCATGGCCTCCAAGAAGCATATATGAGTGTGGAACAAAGGCACCTCTTTCATTTTTCTCTCCCCACCACCCTCCCACCCCATCCCAATACACCTACAGAATTCTCCAACATTAAATGAAAACAACCGTATTATTTCACAGAACCTCATTCAGGTGTCACTGGAAGACTACAGTGATGAGGAACTAATCTACTTTTGGACCACTCTAAGTGACAGGAAACTTTTCCTCACATTAAACCTAAATCTGCCTCCCTTACAACTGCTTCTGCTTGTTTTGCCCTCCGTTGCTACACAGAACAAGTCCAATCCCTCTTTTCCATGGTAGCCTTTCAAGCACTCTAGGACAATGATGAGATCCTTGCTAAGTCTGCTCTTTTCCAGATGAAATAGTCTGGGTTCCTCCCACCTGTCCTCATGAAGCACAGTTTAAATAAAGCCTTCTCACCATCTTTGTTGCCTTCCTTTTGGATACACTCTAGTTTGTGAATATCTTTCCTAAAACATCGTGTCCCAAGCCCTGAATTCTAGCACCTAAGATTCCACATTTAAGTCCCCATCCAGGACCCTAAAAACTTCTTTGTTTCCCAGAGATACTTAAAGTTGGGATTTAAATGCCTTATTGAAAGGCACTAAGTCAACACTAAATACAGACAGTTCTTGCTTTAAGTAAATGGACAATTCCACAGACCTCTATGTAAAATGATTTTTATATAATATGAATTTGTCTGTGGAAGTGGGGAAGAAGGTAGGGAGGCAGGAAGGGGGACTAGCACTTGGGAAGAGTGGGGACCAGAGACAGAGAATTGAGAACAGGAGAAGGAACACACAGGGCCAGGGCCAGTCCTGTGGGGGCCTGACCAGAACCCAGAAGAAGGGGACAGATACATGGTTCTAAAGCACAGACAGAAGACAGACACTCAGGGTGGGACAGACACAAGGATGGGTGGTCAGTTTGGGGCAAAGGTCTCCTTATTCAGCATCCGAGGTCTCAACCAAACCCGCATCCTGGCAGCAGTGGCCATGGTCTTTCTGCAAGTGCATTCTTCTGCTCTCACTTAGGTTTGTTTTTTTTTTTTTTTTTGGTGGGGAGATGGGAAGCCCTAGAGTGCAGAGCCAAGGGACAGGAGAGGAGAGAGCATAGTATTGTACAGTAAAGTTAACATAGGTTTTGTTTTATTTTGTTTTGAATGTGGATTTCTTTCAGAATTCTTTAAAGTAGAATTTGCATAATGTGAATTTGCATAAAGCAAGAACTGTCTATAATTTGTTTTTTCTCATTTAAAGAAATCAGCAAGCAGGAGGTGAGCAAGTACAAACCAGATTCAAACCATTCCTGTGAAATATTATTAGGGACTCATTAGGGTAGTGGATGTTGAGATAGAGGATGAAACTCCAATTTTTTCATCTATTTCTCTTAGGGAAGACCAATTTACTGGTGTCTGTTCATATGTAGGACCTTTAAAGCTGTAAGAAACCTTCAATTTCATCTAGTCAAATCTCCTCTATATGCTCCTATTTTATATGTGAGGAAACTGGTTTGCCCTCAACCAGAAAGTGGGGAACCTGACCTGGGAGTGAAACCTAGCACTTAGGACTCCAAATTAATACTCTTTCTACCAAACTACATCCATTTTAATAAATAATTTTCTGCTGTGTCTATACTTGATCCAAGTGGCAAAATAACTGAGTTCTCAGAGAAACCAAAAAGGGTAGGGAAGGAAAGATGAACTATATAAATAAAAAAATAAACAAATATGAATATTCTTTCAATTATCAATAGATTTAGAGAAATGCCAAGCTGTTTTTAGCTTCC